GCCAGCTAAAAGTAACAAAAGGCCAGCTAAAAGTAACAAAAGGCCAGCTAAAAGTAACAAAAGGCCAGCTAAAAGTAACAAAAGGCCAGCTAAAAGTAACAAAAGTCCAGCTAAAAGTAACAAAGGCCAGCTAAAAGTAACAAAAGTCCAGCTAAAAGTAACAAAAGGCCAGCTAAAAGTAACAGAAGTCCAGCTAAAAGTAACAAAAGGTTAGCTAAAAGTAGCATAATGCTGGCTAGAAGTAGCAAAATTCTAACTTGATTAGCTTTTCGTTAGTCATAAAGTAGCATGGTCGCTAAAAGTATCAAAATGTTAACTAAGTGTAGCTAAAGGACAGCTAAATGTAACAAGATTAGCTAAACGAAGTATAAAATTCTAACTTTTATTTATGTCCAAATTGTACCAGAATTCATGCAATTTGAGACAAAGTCTAAAAAAAGATTTTTAAAAACATTTTAAGATTTTGTAAAACAGTTTCAGGAGTGATTTGTGACACAAAGGTGGCAGCAAAGGTCACAAAGAAGACCAGCTGTGCTGTCTGGTTTGCTTTGATGACCTCTGAAGAGGGAACAGCCGAAAGAAGAAGAGGAAAAAATAAGATTTGAAGGTTTTCCACTGATTCACTGACTTGCAGTCGAAGTGGTGCAGCAGGTCGTGAGCCCGGCAGTAACGATGTCTGCACACCATCACCAGAGCCACGAAGGAGGCCAGGAAAATGGTGGCCAACACCCCGATGGCCACAATCACAACCGCCTCCATGGCGACCCCCTCCACTCCAGCCGTCCGGAGGAAACGTGTCCAATCAGGGCCGGCTGATGGTCCGAGCTCGATGGAAGACGCTCATCTGCCGAGGAGGAAATAAGTATTTGTTTGATTTGTTGAAATAAAATGAACATTTGAACTCGACACCATTTTAAAGTGAAGAGGTGTCGGGTCTGAGGTCTGTGTTAAATATCTCATGAACATCTGGACAGATTCTAGTGAAACTCCAAACACTTACACGTCTCATGAAATCTCTAAATTTCAAACAACAAACTTAGAAGTTTAAATCTAAATAACTTTCTTTTAAACAAATAGTTTTAGTGTAAAACTCTGGCGGGCAATGTGCATCCCTCTGAGGAACGCCAGGCCTTTAATTTCAATTGAACAAATCAAAATTAGTTTTTCAAAATAAGAGTCAGCTGATTAAATTATTGCTTAAATCCTGTTCATATTTAAACTGAGATTTAACAAAAAAAAAAAACATTAAATTAAGTTGTTCTTCTGATCTATTTTGGAT